CCAGGGGGAGGCAGTGTATGCCCGGAATTATGTAGGACATCCCTTGTGGCTACCGGGCATAATAACCGACCAGACTGGGCCCTGCTCCTACAGGGTCAGGCTCCTCGACGGCAGAGTCTGGAAACGCCATTGCGACCAGTTGCGGAGCAGGCACCAACCACCAACAAGCCAGCAGCAGTCAACCGATCTGCCAACCCCGACGGGCACGCCGACCGACGCAGAGCAAGGAAACGAGGAGGTCAGCCGAGATCCAGCAGTCTCAGTCCCAAACCGAAGCGGCGACTTACCTGGTGGGCCAGCACCATCCTGCGTTCTCCGGCGGCCCAGGCGATCGCCGTCCTCCGATGCAGAGTCCTCGGTCGAACAGCCAGAGCCTTCAAGCGAAGCAGAAGGGCCTAGGGCATCAGGCCGCATCAGGCGGCGTCCAGCTTACTTGCAGGACTACGCCTGCGCGAACTTAAGGGGGGAGGAGTGTTGTGTTCTGAGCTTGCGCTGACTAGAGGTTTGAGCGGGAAAGCGCTCGACAGCCGATTGGCTGATCGTTTGACAGCTCCTCTATAAATAGGGAGCTGTCCAAACGAGCAGCGCGCGTTCCTATCTAAGCCGGTTCTGAAGTGTTAGCTTGTACTTTAAGGGAATAAACTTGTTAGCCTTTTATTCCTGTCTCTGCCTCAGTTCTTCTGGCTACCCACAGGTCCTTGGTACACACCACAAGCGGCTAAGGTACAAGTGATCCAGAATAATGTTTGCCAGTCTTCAGATCATTTAACATACCAGATGTAATCTGGTGACATTTGCCACTGGTTCTTTGTCAGAAGTTGGAAGTCCAGAGGGACCACCAGATTATGAACCAGTTCTAAAAAAGGAAGTAAAACCAAAGATGGAATGTCTCTGGTACTGGAAATTCTCCATGTTCATTGCTACTTTGTTTTGTCAGGATTGAGCTTTCTTCATCAGATCCTAATTAACCTTCAAAGACTAGGACTGTGATGGCGAACCTATGCCACGTGGGCTACAGGTTGCACACGGAGCCATTTGTTAGGGCACGTGAGGTGTTGCCCTGTCAGCTCTAGCGCGCATAACTTCAGCCTTCTTTTGAGACCATTTTTCACCCTCCTTGAAGCTTCCGGAGGGCAAAAACCAGCCCTACGAGCAAACCGGAAGTCTATTCCCGAACTTCTGGGTTCCCCGTAGGTCCATTTTTCATCCTCCGGAGGCTTCAGGGAAGCTCCTGAAGCTTCTGAAGAGCCTCCAGGGGTGTCGGGGGTGCTGTTTTCATCCTCCCCAGGCTCCTAGAAAGTCTCTGGAGCCTGGGGAGGGAGAAAAAATGTGCCCAAAGCAGGGGGGATGTGTGCACATAGCATTATGGGTGTGGCATGCCCACACATGACCTCCCTGCACTCCCCCCACTTTTGGCACAGGAACCAAAAAAGGTTAGCCATCACTGGACTAGGACAAGGCTTCTTGTTCAGCCCAATGTCAAGATGAGCATTATCAGCATACTGATGATATGTGACTCCATGCCAATGAATATCCTCCCTAGCAGCTTCATATAGATATTAAATACGAAGGGTAAAGTATCAAGTATTACTACTGACTGAAAACTCCCCTTTAGGAAGGAGGAAAACCACAATAAAATAATGTCCCCTACACCTAACTCTTGAAGTCGGGCTACAATAAACAGAGGTCTCAAATGCCGTATAAAGGTACAGCAAGACCGTGAGAGTCACACTTCCACTATCCCTGGCTCATTTACAGACCTGAAATAAGACTGAAAAAGCATGTAGACAATCTATTTCCTACAGTGTTCTTCAACCTTATCAATATCCTTCCCTAAAAAGAGAATGTTAGAGACTGGACAACAGTTATCTAATATAGCT